TAGCCCGCACTGCATGCCAAGGCCCGTGGAAAGGACTACGAGATACGCCAGCAGTACACAAAATACTACTCGAACGCTTTTGAAACCGTGAAGAGTGCGGAGCGTGCCGAGATGCCGATTATTGAGAGTGACCTCTTGTCTCTTGCCTACAAAGCTGCTCTTTCGGCGCTCCTTTCGGAGGAAATTTATAACTTTGGTAAGTTTCTGAACGAACGTCACTTCACAGAGCGCCTTGCGGATTCTGTGCAACACGCGTGGATTCTCGAATGGCTGCGTCTCTGCAATGATGGCAAGGTGGAGGAGTTTGAACAGTACGCCGTTGCCCACAAGGCGGAAATGGCGGCGAGCCCCATCCTTTCCGAATCCTTTCCCTCCATCACGAAGAAGGTGCGACTGATGGCTCTTCTTCACCTTGTTTTCTACACACCGTTTAACGAGCGCACGTTCACCTTTGATGTGATTGCGCGGCGTTGTGCGGTTGACGAGGAACGGGTGGAACCACTGCTGCTCGCGGCACTGGCGCAGGGTATCATCATGGGGAAGATCGACGGCCTCACACAGGAGGTGCACATCACATGGGTGGAACCACGTGTATTGAGCCTGCAGGAGGTGAAGGAACTTGCCGTTCACGTTTCGCGCTGGAAGGAAAAAACTCTGGGGCTCATGCAGTGCATGAAGGAGGCTGCTCAGGAGACACACAATTGAAGGAAGAAGGCACGGGGTGACGCAACCGAGGAAAAAGGATGTATGCAAACAGGCTCAATGAAAGAACGGGAGGGGAAGAGAAGAAAACAACTGGCACAGACGGACAAAAAAAAAAAAAAGAGAGAGAGACCTCAGAATGCGCCAGCACAAGGAAAGGCTCCGCTTTGATGAGTGCGTTCCCGGCACCAGCAGGGAACGAGAGGGAAGGAAGAAGACAGGGCGTGGCCGGGGAGTTGGTCTGGAGGGTCAAAGCCAAAAAGAAAAAAAAAAGGAGAAAAGGCGTTAACTCGTTTATTCAGGAAAAAGGAAGCGGAAAGACTGCATGTCATGTAATTAAAAAAAGGCTATCACTTTTTTTTTCTTTTTTTTTTCTCTCTCTCTCTTTCTACCTGTGTAGTTTTTGTTTTTTGTTTTTTCTGTGTGCATGTTTGTTGTTTTGCTTCACGTCTCTCTGTGTTGGCGCGCAATTCTCTCGCTTGTGCACTGTGTGCATCTATCGCTGTGGATAGTTTTGTGGAGGGGGGAGCCTGTGGAGTCCGAGAGTGAGAGAGAGAGAAAAGCAGAGGGGTTTTTTGAGTTTATGGCACGCGAGGCAAAAGAACAACAAGAAAGAGAGAAAATAAAATAAAATGTAGACCGGATGCGACGTATGCCCGTTTCCTCTTTCTTCCCTCTTGTGGTTGTTTTTGTCTTGGCAAACCACAGTCCTCTGTGTAGGTATTTTTGAAATGTAAATGACTCTTCTCATGTTGTTGTTTTTTTCAATTCTCACGCATGCATCTTTTCCTCCGGCCTTTCTTTTTATTTTATTTATATTTTCTTTTTTGTGCTTGCATGTATGATTCTGAGGGTGGGTTCCTGCAGCTGTTGTGCTGGAGGGAGTGACAGAAGAGCTATCAGATTGTGCGAGTTTATTCCCACACACACAAACACACAAAAAAAAAAAAAGAGGAACACAGCACGTCGCAATCATATAATTCACGTGCGTGCAGCACAGCTGCGTGGATTGGCATACGTGTCTGTGACGGGCGCCTCCCATTTTTGCTCTAAATAGCAGTTACGGCAGACTTTTCTGCTTTTCCTCCCGGATTTGCATGGCAGCGGAACCAGGCTCTCAGATTCCACGCTTTCGTGTGGGCAACGCGACCATTTCAAATAAAAGGTGGCTCGAGAACTTTGCCGCCCTGAAAGAGGAGACATTTACGACGACTCTGCCCACGACAACGAATGATGACCCAAACTTTTTTTTGGAGACGCTGGATGTCTTTTCTTGCACCGAGGAGGAGTTTCTGAACGGACTCGCCATGATAAAGGAATTTGCGCTGCGTTCCAAGATGAAAATAATGAAGAGACAGCTGAAAAAGGGTTACGCAAGGAGAAAAATGGAGGCCATGCAAGAGGAACTTCTATTCTACCGAATTGCGGTGGTGAGAGCCTGCACGACACTGAGGGAAGTAATAGACCGTGTGAAACGCCGACTCTGTGAATTACGGCGTGACGAGGCGCTACTCCATGAGTATTACCAGGCTCTGGATACGGATATTGAGCGCGGAGAAAGAGAGGTGCTGCCCAAAGAGGGCAGTTATCATCTCCGACAGCGAGAGTTGAGGCGCGTCGCGCCGCGTCAGAGGTACCGAGAAGACCGAACATTTGTGGAAGCACGGCACGAAAAGTTGAATGCACTCCTGCATGAACTGGAGGAGGAAGAAATTGCAATCCAACGCGTGAATGAAGAGAATGGTGCCACTGACTTAGACCGGGAGTACGGCATTTGTGACCCGAAGCGAGGGAAATTGGAAGATATTTACGACACCACCGCTGGTACTGAGGCTGAGGCAGGTAGCAGCAATTTGGAGTTGCGCTTGCGGATACGACCGTTACTGGAGAAAGTACGGGAACTACGCATTGTGCCCCCTCTGTCGCCCCGCAGTGTCCAATCAAGATTGCGAAAAGAACTATTACTCCCTTTCTCTGCGCGTGTTCTTGCATTGAAAATTGATGACGACAACAACGCTGGGGAAAGATTTGTGGAATGGTATGTTAATGCTGCCATTGATCCCTTGGCAATGGCACAGCTTGTAGAACTGGTACCGCGTGAGTATCTTGTAACAACGACCGTACGGCTTGTAAACGCTTGCGATACATATTTGCCCCTGCGACAGACGCAAGCCCTCCCAGATGTCCTGCATGTGTTGTTGCAAGCTATTGCAGAAGGACGTTTTGATGACCTTGCGTCTCTTGTACTTTCACCTTCAGACTCCTACTTGCATGCATTGGAAAGCAGGGAGCATGCGGGAATCATATTTTATGCAGCACTGATAACTGGGCAAATGGAAGTACTGCGGCATCTTATGTCAGTTGGGTTTTACAATACCAACGCACTCATTGTGTGGCTCTTTTTGAATCCCAACCGTCATGATCCCAATTACATGGCGTACGTCACAGAAATGAGGTCCAATATTAAAAAATATATGCGGAGCGTGGCCCATCAAGCCCAGGATAACACAAACGCAGAATCTCTACGCGGCGAGCTGGAGGAAGACTATATGGATCCAACATTAGTCACGGATTCTATGCAAAACAATGAAAACTTTCTGTCAGTGAACAGGGACTTGTGCGAGACGCTGCGACGCTTCTTGCAGGAGCGAATGAGGTGGAAGAAGCAAGTGGTTTCCCGGACCGATAAAGTGACCATGGATACCGACAAGAATGAGAAGGGAAAATTATCTGCAGAGAACCCTCCCGTGACGAAGTTGGAATTGGAAGAGGACGAAGATGCGCAGGCAGCGACGCGAGTCGGTTCCTCTTCTGCGGCTTCTGGCGTGTCCTTTTCGCTCATTCTTGGGAAGAAGCGTTTAGACCGCCTTCAAATCTCGTCGGTCAAGTGTGCCGTATTACCAGCCGTTACTACATCATTTATGCGGCGGGTGGACAGGTGGGGGTACACACCTCTAAAGGCAACGGACTCGCATTTCCTTCTGGTTGGAGACACGTCTACCGCAAATGCACATGTCATACAACTCCCACCACGGCACGCAGACTTATGGCCCGACGATGACCCCACAGTATCACCACACGTAAGATGGCAACGAGAGAGGAAAGAAGCAGCAGCAAAGGCGCACGGCCTGACTTTCTACTATGAGGTGCATGTCTCCTTGAATTTTCTACTCAGCGGTGTTCCTGTGAGCACGAGCGTCTTCAACGGCTTCTCCGCATCTTTGGAACGGACTCCGGAAACCATGCCAGGATTGCAAACTTCTACTGTTTTTGTTGGGTGGTGCTCAGAGGAATGTACGTCCGCTGCCGATGGACGTTCGACGCATCCTCCCCTTGGAAGTGACCGCAATTCCATAGGAATTTCCTTTGATATCTTGCATCGATCCAAGGTCAACCAACTTGTGGAAGAAGTCATCATACGCCCCATGAAACATGAAAGGGGAAGGAACGCCGTTTACCAGGTCTTGGATGAGGACGCGCAAGAAAAAAAGGAGGTGGAGGACAAGGAGAGGGACTCGGTGGATTTACCTTTTCCCTTATTGAGGATTCTGTTAGAAAACAATAATGAAGGCAATGATGTTGGATTTGTAAGTCCCACCAATGGACCTTTCTCATCACCAATATACGAAGCTTCAGCCTCCGCACAAACTAACGAAACATTGGAAGAAGCCCACATGCTGTCGGCAGCGTATGCTGCAAAGGAAAGCATTGTTCCCACCGTTGAAGTTTTGAGAAAGAAAGGGAATGGTTCCACGTCAGACTCAGAAGAATCAAACTCCATTCATTGGAACTTGGCGTTCAGCGGCAATTCAGTCGTCCTGAGAGGGGTGCCAGTCTATAATTCTCAGTCCCTGGTTGTTGGTTGCCACGTGGATTTTGGTGCCCACAGTGCATCGTTTACTGTCAACGGAAAGTCTCTTGGGATTGCCTTCACGACGTTACCATCGCCGGTTGGTCTCCGACCTGCTGTGAGCCTGCAGGCCTCAAACCGAATTACGGAGGTCCTCCAGCGCGTAAAACCTTCCGCTGGGGTCATTGTACGTTTTGTCTTTGATGAGTCACATCTGCTGGCTAGCCAAACGGTGACAACAGAGATGAGAAACACTTTTTTGCTGAATTCTTCTCCTGCAACGCGGGTGGGAACGCCAGATGAGTCGGTTGAAACGTGCCGTGAGTTTATTCCTGGAGTATTTCCCCTAAAATTACCCCTGCTCTTTGACGAAAACATGATGCACTGTGCGCTTATTCGGCTTGTCACCTGCGGCGAAAGCGCGCTCCTCAGCGGCCATGATAGTCACGAGCTCATTCAAGCTGAACGAGAGACCCTTTCACTGGGGCACACTCTGCGTGTCACGGCCTCGGGTGTTCGTCAGCTGTTAAATGCAAAGTCCGATAAGGAGGATCTGTTATTTTTTCCTCCGGTGCTTCTTAAGCGACGCAGTGACGATACGAATAAAGGTGCCATTGGAGTCGCTATCATTCCAGAGGATGTTTCCTTGGTGCCTTTATGCATCGCACTCACACAGCGCCAGCGTGTTGCGGCGTATCGCATTGCCGTACACCCCTTTACAGATTTTGTAAGTCAGGACGATGCAAGTAAACGTCAGAGACGCATGGCGCTACTCGGTTCCGCAACACTAGGCTATACGGAGGTTTTGTACGCCCTTCTTGAGCGTATGTCTATTTCAGAGACCCTCAATTCATTTACACTGAAAATGGTGGGGAATGAGCCGGAGTATTTTTTAACAGCAAAGCAGATGCGAGTTTTTTCTCCCGGAAACTCTCGACAGTGCACTTCTGCAACCATGCTGCATCGCGTTGAGTACACCCCGCTCCATTGTGCTCTTCTTGAAAAACACCAGGAGTGTGTGCATCTGCTGCTGTATTATCTGAGTCGATTACTTCCAGCGGAGCATAAGCGACACGCGGTGAACGTACTAACGCGTAGTGGTGAGACGGCACTTCTTATGGCATGCCGATTTGGCTACACAAAAATTGCAATGCGACTTCTTGCAATGGGAGCTTCACCGTCGAGTTTTGATCGTGTGACGAGAACGAATTGTCTGGAACTTGCCTGTGCCAGTCGCAGCGAGGAAATTGCGGCGGCCCTCTTGCAGACGTCACATTACCGCTCGCAGGTGGCAGTAAATTTGGCGGGGGTGGCACCCCCAATATGTTGGTGCGCGCTAAACAATATCGGATCCCTCATACCACCGCTCCTTAAAAATGGTGCGAATCTCAACGTGACGCTGGACGGTCTAACGCCGCTGCTTCTGGCCGTCACGTTTGGTAGTCAAGAGGCCGCTCTTAAACTGCTGGAATGCTGCGATGCCGTCTCCAATGTGTCCAACTACAAGAACAGTTCAACTCGCACCATCCAACATCGTTCACCTAAAAGAGAAACCTTTCATGAAGACCCTGCCGAAGAGGGCGAATCTCGATTTCTTGCCGTGTTAGACGTTGATGCATTGGACCCACTCACACAGAGTAGTGCGCTGCATCTGGCGTGCGAGCTTGGGCAATTGGAAGTGACGCGAGGACTCATTGCGAAGGGGGCCTCATTGAACCTGCAGAACAAAACAAAGTATGCAACCCCGCTTCAGGTCGCCATTATGAACAGAAATGAACACCTGGCACTTGAACTCTTGGAGTACGCGAAGGACAAACTTCGGCGTGGTTCCAACGTCCTTGATATTTCAGCGATTGAAAAGAATGGAAACACCGCCTTGCATCTTGCCGCACGAGAGGGCATGCTACAAGTGATTGAATACATCATTTTTCAGTTTAGCGACGAGGAAATTACACGAATTTCCTGCATTCACAAATTTTTGAAACGGCCCGATGCGGTAAATATTGTGGAAAAGAATCGCCAGGGCATGACACCGCTTCTTGTTGCAATTCACGCGCATCAGGAGGCCGCAGCACAACTTATTGCGTCACTCATGCCAGAGTCGTTGCCGAACCCGGGTGGGCCAGTGATTGATGGCACCTGCGTGGCGATCCTGTCGAGCGACGCGGAGAGTCTTGACAATTTAACACTTTACTTCCTTTCACAGCCACGTTACTTTGCCAATGACGCGTTCCGTGAGGAGTTTTTCACCCGCTACAACGCGAAGCGGCGAGAGATGGACCTTTGCGAGGATGGTGCGCCCGCCAAGGTGGAGGGAATAAAATCCGTGCTTTATCATGACGGGGAGAAGAGAAGACAGCAGAAGAGGAAGGCACGTGAAATTCAGGAATCACGGAGGCGGACACGATATCAGAAAAAAACGAGCGTCTCTTCAGCACTCCTGTGGCGGACGAGTCTCACGCCAGAATCGTATGCAGGGAAGTTGGGCGACCAAACCGGTACACAAAAAGCACCGCCGTCACGCCGTCGCAGCACGCTACACACCCGGATATCACGGACAGGAAGGCATCGACGAAGAAGTACATTTGTGCAGATGTTGCTTGCCAAAGGGGGAAGTGGTTTCACCACATTGGCATCTATACGTATTTTGGAACAAGGATTTCCGCTTGAGGAAGTGTACGTCATGGCGGACATCATCTCCACCGAGACCACGCACTCGTCACAAACTGTGAGTGCCATGCAGCATGTGGAAACACTCATATCTTTTTTGCGTGAATATGGTGGAGTACGCATTGCCACGGGCGATGCTGTTGTATTTTCTCGACAACTTCTTGCCACTCCGTCCTTGGAGAGAATGATGGACTCGGACCAGTTAGAGAATGCCAAAAAGCGCTTGGCGGAGATGCGTCCGCTTTGCAGAGACTTGATGTCTATTATACGCTCCTATGGGCAGCGCGCAGACTGTGTGGAAGACTTGCGCCACATGGTTGAACAACACGGCGTTATTGGTACCGCTTTTGTGGAAGAAGTTACAAGCCCTTTTGGGTTCACGGTACTTCAGCTGGCTGCCACCCTGGGTCTATCGCATGTATGTGACTTTTTTCTGAATGAATATGAGATGAGTCCATTGTATGTACCGGCAACAGGCAGCATTCCTTGCAGCGAAAGCAAGTGGTTTCTGTCGCCGTTTCGTCTCGCATTGCGCTCTGCCGATGTGGACACGGTTTCGGTATTTCTCTCTCTTGGCCTTCGATTGGGTTCCATACAGGAGATACTGGAGCACAAGGAGCTTCCAAAGGCGGAAGAACTGCAACAGACGGCAATTCAGGAACTCATTTGCCAGCCAGTTGATACGCTCCCCGCTGGAACTACCATTGACACACTGCACATTTTGCGTCTGCTTCTTCAGAGCGGGGCCGTTTTGCAGGGCAATTTTGATGCCGAGGGAAACGATGCATGGATGCTTGCTGTGCGTGCGTGTCCTGGAAAAGGCACGAAGCTTCAGGTCTTTTTGGATGAGCAGGTACCGCTCGGTGAAGAGGAAGAAGACGATGTAGTGGAGGAGGAAAGCTCGCAGGAAGTCACAAGACAAAGTTCGCTATTCATGAAACGTGACTCAGTGCAACGAGGAGAAAGCAACAGCGGCATGTGGACAACGATTTCGCCGGATGCCAAGGAAGGCCTGAAGTTGCCACTTGCGGTCCCATTTGTTGAAGCAATTGCGACATCTTCTTGGATGGACTCCCCCTTTAGATTGGAGGGTGCTCTCGAATTCCCACGCATGAGCCCAAAGAAAAGGGTATACTACACCCAACTGGTCTTTCTGTGTGCTGAATATAACCCGCAGAGTCTCATCGCACTGCTGGAACAGTACTCATATGTTCTTTCTCCCTCCGTCATTCACCCTGTGACGGGTGATACTCTGCCGATTTTCCTCCTGCGCAGGGCGGTCCACATCTACTCAGTGGAGTGCGGCAGTCATGCCTTTTTTCAGGGAAACGCAAGCTTGGGGGAGCTTTTTTTTTCCACGCGTTGTTTTTCGTTGGATGTGGATGTGAGTACACGGGTTTCCGAAAAAGATCCCGCGCCGTACCGTGACCCAATCACCATCCCTGCTGTTCGTCGCCTATTATTGGTCGTGGAACGATTGCTGCGAAAATTTCGCTTTGATAATTTGTACTATGAGGACAGTGATGGGCAAACCGCGTTGTCATTGGCCGCACGGTTAAGCTACACCAATATTGTCTCACTAATAGTGCAGCAGCGGGTTTCACGGACCGCGGGTGGTGCGGGTGCGCGGAATGGCGGGGAGGAGGAATTTAGCTCTATCAGTCGTTTAAATACGGCCAATGCAAGCTCCGACAGGTGTGCAATAAATGAAGATCTCGTAAGAAATTTGGAGGCCTCCTCCTGTTGGGCTATACTCGCTACACGTCTCTACTACGCGGAAGAAGAAATGGATTTGCTCCTTGCCATTCTCAGACATCTTCCAGCGGCGTCCACAAAGTTTTCATTCCTTTCGATGGTTTACTCCAACCTACATCCCATCGTGGCTCTACGAGTTGCAGTGCTTTACGCAAATGACGTGAAGCATATTCTCATGCAGCCAGAAGCCATCAATGCTTTCTGGTCCAATGTTCTTTATGCCCAGTTTGTGGGCCGACTTGAGGAGGTGACTGTGACGCCAGCAGAGTGGACTTCGCTTTTGAGTGTGCTGCTTCCCGCCGCCTCGGCCATTCCAATCTATTTGATTAAATCCACTCCACTGCTGCCAATGAGTTCAGCGTCCGATATTTCGTCCCCAACAACGCAATCCCCTCTTAGTTTTACCGATATTGGAACGTCTTCACCGGTGAAAAATGAAAAGACAGAGACATCTCCCAGCTACAACTGGAGATTTATTGTAAAAAAGACAAGACAGTACGTTCGTCAGCTTGCAGCAGCAGCGGTTTGTGTGGTGTCACCACCATCTGCCATTGCGGCGGCTTATGGTGGTGGGGCAATTCCAAGTTCTCAGCGTCACGTGCTTACAATCATGTCGAGTCATTTTCATGAGTTAATTGAATTGGCCGTACGCTTCGATAACTCTGCTATGCTGATGGATCTCATGAGCTTGTCTCCAGCAGAGCTACAAGCCTGTGTCAAACATGAATGGCGTTACTTAATGGAAAAGTATCACATTGGTGTAATTGCTATTGCCGCAGGCAGCATTAATGTATTGAAAGCTATTTCTGATGTTCCCGACGCGGCTGCACTCTTAAGTGCTGAGCAATATGAACGCATTGACCCCAATACTGGGCTTTCGGAAGATGCGGGAGTGGCGGACGAGGCGGCCCCAGAAAACCAAAACACATATACAGGGACCTTTTCTATTCGTGGAACACCACCGCCAATACGTGGGGATCGAAAGAATAGTACGTTTGGCATTCACGCAGCACGTAAAACCCCCAATAAAATAGCTGGTTTGAACGAAAATAAAGGGAATACCAAGAAGGCAAGGGAAAACAAGAGTGCAATGGTGAATATCCTTGCACTCGATGCAAAGACGCCTGATCCGGGTGTGGAAGGGGAAAAGGGCGATGTTGACAAGACTGAAACCAACCTAAGGTACATGGATGTGATGACGGCGGCTCGCGAACGACAAACGGCTTCGGCGGTAACATGGGGCATTGGTCCAGCCGCACGACCCGTATCATTGCAAGAAAGAACAAAATCAATTGATCGTACGGCGTCCCACACACAGGCCTCTGCTTCATTTTCTACGCGAAAGAAAATGAGTGACGGCACAACGGACATCGGGGCTCCTTTACGATCACACGCGCAGCGAGGCACAGAAAGTACGCTCTCTACGGCGTCCGTGCAACGAAAGACACTCAGAAAATCTGTCTCGCTGGAAGGGACAAAAAGCCTCAACTTGTCGCTGCGCCAAGGGGGAACGCCGTTTGAGACAACACCCCCGCCTCTGCCACCACGGTACTTTGCGTATTATTTGTGTGACTGGGCGCTTCACACGACCCTTCTCCTGCACGCACCGCGGCCGTCGAGTCGGACGATTGATACCCTGCTTTACCTTATGGATCAAAGGGCCCCCCTCACAACTTCGGCAGTACAACTCTTCTTGGCAGCCTCCCGACCTCTGAATTGCTGGGAATCAAGTGACGGCGAAATGATCACACTCAACTACGTGACACGCAAAAATAAAGACACAATACTACACATTCTGGTACAGAATGGCCAGCTTCGACTTACCCGATATTTTTTAGCGGCCGCCTTGTTTTACTTCACATACTATCAATATGATCCACCGAGTACGATGCCACCAAATTTTGCATTGATAGATATGCCAAAACTACCGCAGAAAACTCTTTCCCCAGAGTTGCGCGGAGCAATGAAAACTGGAGACGTGGATGCATTGGATGATGATGAATCACACCCGGCCGTTTTCTTACGCAGCATGTTGCGAATGAATAAGCATGGCCTTACACCTTTTGACTACGCCCGCGGGCCAATGGTGTCACTACTCATGGAATACGGTTGCGTCCCGCCTACATACCGCCCGAATCCCCGTGGATTTTGCCGCGCAATCCGATTGCCCTTTCCCGCTTCATCTTTCTACTCCGTCCCTCGAATCCTATTGGTTTCTATGAACTTTATTGAGCTTCATGACGAGGGAATACCAAAACCACGAAACCACATTGCAGAACTTTTGGCAAAAGAAGTCGCCGATGCCACGTTGGTCAGAAATCAGGCGGCTAGTCAACGTACGACGAGAACGGCTTTCCTACCGCCGCTTCTTTCAGGCAACGTGAGTCTCCTGCATCTGGGATTGTGTTCTGCTGATGACGAACTTGTGTTGCAGCACATCAATGAAAAGCGTAGGCAACAATTGCGAATTCTTCTTTTGTCGCAAATGCCGCGGACTTCACCAACCCCGTACATGATGACGCAGATGTCGACTTCTACTTTGGGATACCAGCGACAGGATAAACTGGTACATTCTTCCGTCTCTGGAACGAAGGATTTAAACGGGCAAAAATCCTCCGCAACACGTGGAAAGGACGAAAAGGAACTTTCAAAAGCGTTGAAGCTTGTGGATACTCTTTGCGATTGTGGCTTTGTTTTATTTCCCCTTGTTCTTCCTTTGGACGTTGAGGCAAGTCAAATAATTGAAGAGGACGCGGTAAATGAAGGCACGGCAATTCTTCTCACCATGACCCCTATGGCACTTGCAGTGAGTGCAGGCGTCGTGAAGAAGGATGAACATTCCCAGAGTAGTTCTCCCATGATGAAACGGTCGCTGAAATCCCCCGATATTTTTCGAAGAGCTTCTAAGGATGGGACTGCAGCCGTTCCGCCACGTTTCACACCAGCTCCAGGGAAGAACCGTCTGCCTGCAGACACTCTCGATGCGTGGGTAGCCTCCCGCCGTTTGGCAAGGTCAAACGCATCTGGAAAGGACCCGCACATGCATCTGCTGGTTAGGGCGATTGGAAGTGGTCTTGTCGGGAGGACGATTCACCACCTCGGTCTTTCTACAGCTCCGTCTTACGAGTCGCACAAGTAGCACTTGCATTGCAACGCAGGGACATTTTGCTTGGATGTATTGGTCACATATTTTTCCTTCTCTTTTGGAAAGGGGAAATTGTGAACGAAGAGGACAAATAAACAAACCATGTATACTACGCCTGTTCCAATTTATGTTTATTATCTTTTACCATCGGTTACAACTTTTTTATCTCCGAGGACCATGGCACCATTACACTTAAATGTTTTCATTGTTGTTGTTGTTTTGACTCCCACGGGCCTAATCATCTTATTTGAAGCAAAGCATAGGTATTTATGCATGCGTATTCAATTTGTCCCTGTCCTTTTGTTTTTCCTTCTTGTTTGTTTTTCTCTATGAGCCATGTAACAGAAGTGTCACATTGAAATAGCGGCGTGTGGGAGCTCTTTCTATTTTCCGTGCCTAATGAGTTGCCCGACTGGCGATGAAGCGGGTAACTAAATGAAGAACATCCTTCAAGGTGGATAATACACGCAAATCCCTTATTGGCTATTCATGGCGTGGGAAATGTGTCTGACGGGAAACAGGCGCGCCTGTGCATTCGCACCTGCTTGGTAGTTTCAGAGGGGCGGGAAGTGTGGCGTGCGTCATTTGTGTTGGACATCTTGTCTCCGTCTTTTTTTTTTTTGAGGAATTAAGAAGGGAATGTGTGTGTGTGTGTGTGTGGAAGGAGGTTAAAATCTTCCAATTGAGTTGCAAATGTTAAAAAGAAACGCAAATTGTTTTTGGCTCTTTTTTGCGTGTTTTTGCGATGGTGTTTTTTTCTTCTGTATATGTGTCTATGTGTGCTTTTGTGCATGTGGTAGTTGTCATTCTTCCTATGTGGTTTGTTTCGCTTGTTCTCTGTTTGTCTTTTGTTTGTTTTTGTCTCTCTGAACACATGTGTGGGCAGCACGGAGCAGGGAATGTCAGGAGAAGCGGAGGGGAAAAATGGGGCAAGTGAGGAGACGGCAACGCCGCATCACACCAACACGGTGGATCACAGCAACGCAGTTACTCGGAAGCGGCCACGTGTGGCGTGTCTGCGGCAGAATTTTTCCCGTCAATTGTACCAAATGATGATCCGGCAGTTACACCATGATGGGTACTTGGGGGCAGCCGCGGCGGTGGCCGATGCGACAGGAGTTGTGGTCCCACGGTTAGAAAAAGACAGCCAGCGATTGTCAAAACTTGTCTCGATGGGCCTAGCGCACGAAGCAAGCAACATAACTGAAATGGAGAACTTCATGACGTATGAGGTGGTGGAGCGCTACCTCGGTGCCTCCAAGTTGTATGTGCCGCTGCACCTCACGGAGAGTTCGACAGTGGGCCAAATGGCATACCGAATGCGGGAACGGTTTACGACCTCTTCACTAGGCGGGGTTGTGCGTCGTGTCAATATATCGCCGGATGGTTCTCTGGCGGCCTGTGGTGGAAACAACGGGCTGTGTGTTGTGTTTTCACTCAAGACGATGGAAGACCTGATGGCGCTAGAAGAGGTGCGACAGGAAAATCAGTTCCGTGGTTTGGACGGCAGTGGTGGGAGTGGAAACGTTGGGGTTCGTAACGCGAGCAATAAAATCACTGAACTGGCGGAGGCACGAAGATTCCACGAACACACTCAGTCTGTTGAAGCGATGCACTTCCATCCGTCACGACCGCTCCTGTTGACAGGCGGACGTGAGGGGGATTTGTACCTGCGTGACTACAGTCAACCCAATAATAAGGTGTTACATAAACTGCATGATACATTCCCCATCCGATCGGCCGTTTTTCATCCCTCGGGTGAATACATACTTTACGCCACGGACCACACAGCTCCGAGACTTTTGAATTTACGCACATGGAAGTTGATGACACCCAATACAGTTTCCGGTAATGAGAATAATGCGGCGGCTACCAATATAATTACAGGCAGGAGTGGAATGTCGAATAGAGGAGGGTTCTATAGAAGAGGGACAGATGATAGCCACACAGCTGCTCTGTGTGATGTGGACTTCTCTTTGGATGGACGGTTGCTTGCTTCGTGTAGTCTGGATGGTTCGCTGATTGTGTACGATGGCGTCAGCAGCCGTCCGGTGGCCAAGGTAAACAATGCCCATTCGAGTGTACCTGTGACAAGTGTGAAGTTCAGTCGCACAGGCAATTTTATTCTTTCTGCAGGAATGGACTCCGTTGCCAGACTCTGGGACTTGCGTCGTTCGGATGGTGGGTGCGGCACGGCAGAGGTGATGTCATTTGGTGAGCCTGGAAAGTGCAACCATCGCAGCATCCACGCCGCGTTTAGTTGTAACGAGAGCCACGTGCTATTGCAGGACACGTCCCTCTTTGCTATCCATTCTTACTGTGTTTACTCTAGTGATAAATCGTACTCGTTGGTGGTACCGAATCATATGCAGCGTGGATTTGCGGTAGCACCGTTTTGTAACGTCGTGGTGAGCGGTGGCGATGATTGTCGTGTTCGGTTGTGGACACCCGCGTGGGCAGCCGCATGAGATCTCCTGTCAGTTGTCTTTTTCCTTTTTTAGAGACGGTGGTGCGTTTTTGTTTTTGTTTGTTCTTGGAAGGTGGCGTTGATGAATGATGGTAACTGATGTGTTTAGACGGAATTAAAGGGTGGCTGGAGGGGAAGAGGAAAAAGAGAAACAAAAAAAAAAAAAAGAACAGCGGATGGCGCCGCTCTGTGCATCGAGCAGAAGAAAGTTTTTCTCCTTTACATTTCCCCACGGCTTGTGTGTCCTTTATTGTTATTATTATTATTATTAGTATTTGTTCCTGCTGTGCAGAAGCATCACTCCGCACCGCAATTTACTCCGTTTTTCTTTTTTTCTGCTTCACCACACACGGAGGGAGAAAAAAAAAAAAAAAAGGGGGCCCGAAGGAGGGAGAACACGGTAGAAGTCAATCAACGGGCGGGGGAAACAAAATACGTCACACAAAAAAAGAAAAGACAGCAACCCTAAAAAGAAAGAAAAAGGGAAATCAAACCTTTGTTTGGCTCATCCCCGTTTTTTGTTTGTTTGCTTGTTTGAATTTGATCTTGGCGTGCCGTGTGGTGACGGTGAGCTGCCATTTATTTTTTTTCTTTCAGGCTCACTTCCGCGCGCCTGAGCAATGGCTGGCCTTACATCGGACAACATTTCAATAGCGTCCGCACGTCAATACGGCTTTTCAAGGGAGCGTGACTTGTGCGTCTATTGCGGGAAGAATTCAAAGCCGCCGCCTACAGACCCGTTTGCGCCAGTCTTTGTCTTCTTCTCCCTCGTCGACTGCCGCCACTACGTGTGCCAGCCGTGCGCCCTCGTCAACTGCGACAACGCTGGTCGCTACATTCGCTGCCCAACGTGTCACTCCATCTCGCGTCTTGCGCAGACGGGTAAAAAGCGTACTGGACCCGACGAGTTGCGTGTGACGATTGACGATGGCGTATCCTCTGCCGCCTCACACGCATCACGCCGCTCGGTACGTGTTTCGGCAGACAACGTGCCGGCACGAAGCGCCCTTGCGAAGGCTGACCGCAGCAAAAAACGTTCTGCCTCTGTGCAGTTTTCGGCGAACCCGACGACGTCTGTTGTGCCGCCACCTGAGGAGAGTGAAAACAAAAAACGTGGAGATGCTTCTGTAACTTCACCGCTGACGCGCGATGCTGTTGGAAACCTGCCAAAGGATCCAAGCTATAGGCAGCGCGAGCGTATGAAGGAGGTGGTGACGAGGTCGAACACCAGAGAAACTGTTGCAGTGAACCTGTACACCATCAAGAGCTCCTCTGTGACGCGGCGTCGATCTTCTGGCAGTCGTGCGAGCAGTGTGCCGTTGCCGCCGACTGAGCACCGTTATCTCGCACCACCGATACCTTTTGCGCCCCCGCCACCACTGCGTATTCGTACAGTTGAAGAAGAAGAAGAAGAGGTAGGGGAAAAAGATGTGCAACAGGATGTGCATGTGTCTCTTAGCGCTATTGTAGCCGAGATTGAAGAAAGCCTTCTTGCTGCCGTGGCGAAAGAAGCCCAGGAGCGCTCCACCATTTCAATGGCGGAGGAATATCGTCGCAATGCCATGAGTAAGCAGCGTGAGATTCGGGAAAAGGATATGCTTGCAGCACAAGTAGATATCACGAGCGTGTTAGATCTTGGTGTCAGTCCCCGTACCCCTCTTGACGTCTCGGAGGGACAAGTCAGCGCGACGTCGGATGATGAGACTCCAGCAAGCCTTCTCAAGAGACATCCTGTTGCTCCACTGCTGTACGATGAAGAAGAAAAGCAACCAGTTTCAGTAATTGCATCGGATACAACAATACAACCTGAGGGGACGCAGACAACTGAAGTGGTTTTGCAGAAACTTGAGGACACTGAAAGCAGTATTGCACATGAGAAATTGGAGCCCAAAGAAGAAATTGAGGAATTGAAACAACGTGATACTCAACTTTTGCAGCATCAATTGGAAAGTCTGCAGTCTGAAATAATTTCAGCAATGGAAATTTCATTTGGGATTGGTGAAATTGAGGTACGAGAACGACAAATGATTGAAGGTGTGGAAGGTATGGAGCGCCGTCTGTTGCATAGTTCCCGTGTCCAAGCCGAGGTGGAGATAAGTGCGTTTGAAGCTCAAAGACTGTCTGCCAACCGTGCAGCGCAGGCGGCAACAAACTATATTGCATACATCTCCAAGGAATTTGACGAATATGCATCAAGTGAGATGGAGCATCGTACTTTCATTGAAGATATGCAGCGCTCCGATTGGTCAACGCTGGAGAGGGATTTCCATGCGTCTTTGAAGAGATTTTTTGAGGTGGAACTTCTTCGTTTGACCGAAAAGCATCAGATGGAGCTCACGCGGGCGTCCATCACACTGACAACAGAAGAGACAAAGGCTCGTATGTGGCTGGAGCAAAACGCATTGGATGATCTCACGCGCCTCCACATGAATTCTATAGAGGCGCTTGCTGAATGTCGTCGTCAGCTTCAAATGAAAGAAATGCAGCGTGGGGTCTCGCGTATTGTGGCGGTGCAGCAGCTGTACATGCAGCACTTGTATGATCTTGCGGTGGAGGAGGACAACAAGCGGTGGAAAATCCTTGAGGAAGAACAACGCGACCGTCATGCGGAGTGGACGTCTTTTATTACGACGGTACCCACTCTTAGGACGGCAACGGCGTCCCCAAGTTCCGTCACATCTGCATCCGTACGCGGGGCTTTGAGCTCTTCTCATGCTCCCGAATCTTCTCGCACTGCAGCAACGGCGTCCCTCTCTGTGGCGTCTCAGTACTTTGCCGCGTTGGTTGAAGAGGCGGAATTAGAAGCACTGCAGCTGCAACATATGGAGCGACACGAACGTCACGCTCTCATTAATCTTTTTTTGGCTCAGTCTCAACGCCTGAAGGTCTGTGAAGCACCCATGGACACAACATATTCCGATACACCACTCTCACAGCGTGCAATTGCTAATAGTTGGCGACGTCTGGAGCTTCGAGAAGAGGAGAGGCGGATTGAGCTGCAACAGCGATCGTGGGCCTCATTTCGTTCCATTGTCAAAAAGGCAACAGAGGAGCATGAACAAATCGATAGAATGGAAAGAATGCTGCGATCCATCGCGGAACGATCACGGAGTGTATTAAATCGTTGCTTTGGTGAAGTGGAATTGGCTCTGATGGATGAAGAAAAGCATGAGCGTCAGAACATAGAGGTCCAGGAGCGCCGTGCACGCATGAATCACTCCCGCGAGGCTGTGAGACACGAAGAGGTGCTTCTTGCTGGAGAGCGCTTGCTTCATGACGCCTCTGGAACGCGTTTTTTGGATGCAATGGACGTTGCGGTACGGCAATTCTCTTCGGAGGCGGTGCGTATCGCACAGGAGGAACATCTAGAACGCCTTTCTCTCGTGCAGGCAGAACGTTTTGAATGCTTGTCACTTACAGCGCCTCTCGAAACACAGGCCCGGCGAAGCAAAAAAGATGCAGTGGAAAAACTTTCAGAACTTCACTCTACAATAGAAAAAACAACGGCGGAGGGTGCCTGGCGTGCACGTCTTGCTCTTGTGGAAACAGAGGAGCTTCGTGTCCGGGACGGTATTTATAACGATGAGGCGGGTAACCGGTCATGGTGGGTGACGGACGAGCGCCGCCAAAGGATGGAATTAACATCTCTAGAAACAGAACGGCTCAGGCGAGCTAAAGAGGTTGCGCGGCTGCGTGACAAAATGGGAGAGTGCGAAAGTGTTGAGGAGCAACGCCGTATTGGAGTACAAAGGGAGGAGGCAAGTGCATGGGCAACTCTCGTGAGGGAACAGATAAGAGATGCGGCCAACGCATACAAGAAGGAGGGACAACGACGCATAGAAGAAACACGTCGTGAGCGGTACGCCGATCGGTCACAACGTTGTAGACGCGCCTTGGAAGAATTGTTACAGGATGAAGATGATGATCGGCATTACATTTTTGAGGATGAGCGGGAGGCACGTAGGCGGCTACGGCGTCAAGCTCTTCAGCTCTCGTGTGACATTTTGGAAAAGAAGAAAATTGAAGAAAACATCCCGAGTCAGCCAGTGTTGGCATCTCAAGGCATTGGACATGGCCCTGTAAATGACCCCTCAGCCGTCACGGTTGACGAGGAGAAGATAAGGCAAAAACGGTTAAAGGAACTCGCACGTGAGGAGGAGTTGATTGAGGCGCAGACGCGTCTAAGGGAAGCGGAGCTCCGTATTGCGGAAGAAGCAGAACTTCGCGCCAGGTCGGAGGAAGAAAAACGCGCGGCGCTGGCGGAGTCTGTGCGGTTGCTGCGTGAAGCCGAACAGCGAGCAGAAGAACGCATCCGCCGGGCACGTCAAGAGGCAGAGCGATATGTTGAGCAGGAAGTGAGTCGATTACGGGATGCAAATGAGCGGCAGGCAACACATGCGGCGGCGCTGCGGGCGATCGAGGAGGAAGAAAAAAGTGCGGTGGTTGAGGCGAAACTGCGGGCAGCGGAACATGCATTGAGGGAAGCGGAAAGACGCGCTGCAGATGATGTCCGTCGTGCCAAGGCAGAGGCAGAGGCATTTGCGGCGGCAGAGGCGCAGCGTGTTGCCCTCGAGGCGAAGCGGCAGTTGCAGGAATACCGAGAACAGCAGGAACAGCAGCTGCGGCAGAAGGACCTCGAGGTTCAGCAGAGACTGCGTGGTATTGAGCAACAGGCGCAGGAAGCCATTTTGGCGGCGAAAGCGGAGGCAAGTCGCCTGGCGGAAGAGGCGAAACGTCGGCTAGAGGAGTTGGAGGCCCGTCGCGTTGAGCGGGCGGCGGCTGTTGACGCCGCCAAAGTGAGTGTGCGTGCGGCTCAGCAGCGCATGCGGGAGTTTGAGGAATCTCGGGAATCAACGCCTCAGCAGCCGCCATTGGCGTGGCCCGTGGAAACAGCAGCCTCTACCGCCGAAGCTGCCACGGCGGCGGTGTTAAAAGGACCAAAGGAGGAGGGGAAGGATGGGTATACCCTCACTGCGGTGCTTTGCACCAATGTCATTCGGGCCGCCATTCGTGGAGCAGTGGAAGAAGTTGTGAAGGCGACAAAGGAAGCCTGGTATCTATCCGAAGAGGCGGAGCACAGACTACGCACGGAGCGACGACGAATGCGGAGACGACAAGCAGAACGCGATCGAGCGGAGAAGGAGTTGATTAATGTCGAGAAAAAAAGCATTCTGTGGGGAGAGGAGGAAGAGCAGGAGGAGGAAGAGGAAAAGGAATCCAAACATCGGGTTAACACCGGGGATGACAAGGAGGCTTTCAGTACACCGCTGAAGCAATCGACAAGGCGTCAGTATCATAAAAAACGAGAAGAGAAACAATCAGTTCGTTTGCAACCTCCTGCTGATGACGGTTGCGGTGTTTGCTACCGAAAAGATACGGTAAGCCCCTGTGTGAAATGTGATTCGCAGGTGTGTCTTTACTGTGGCCCCGCTGCTGTCCACAGCGCATGTTGTGAAGAACACCACATCAATGTTATCAACGCCCACCGCCGTCATTTGTCAGGGGAGCCACAAAAAGAGAAGCATGAAACCAAAGAAGTGGAAAGAGAGAATGGAGATGACTCATCTTTGTGGGAAGTGGAAGAAGCGGTGGCCGTGCCACGAAAAGATGAAGTTGGGAGGTCACCGCTTGGTGTTCGTCGGAAGTTGTTGCCTGACGACTATGATGAAAAAGAAGAAAAGGAGGATCAGGAAAGCGAAGCGAAAGAGGTCAAGTCACCTGGAAGCGTGGAAGAACCCAGGACAGTGCGAAAGCGGTACGAGGCCTTTTTTGTTCCGTTATCCCGCGATGCGGAGCCGAGGCGACCGAAGCCGCCGACGCCAAGAAATTACGTGCCGGGTGTCTTTGCCGCAAAGTCCAAACAAAAAAAGGCGGAGAGGAGGTGCAGCCCGCCCGTACGGCGTGCACGCGCCAACAGACACATGAGCGCCGCTGCTGCTGAGGAGTTGCAGCAGTTGCAGCGACGATTCCCCAGGAATGGCCTTAAGGAGCATCTGGCAGCAGCCCACAACAACCAAAAACAACAGCGCCAGGAGTACCCACGCCAACCCTTCGCTTCGTTGAATCCACAATTTAGGGAGCCGCCCCCTGTCCACGCTGACTCGCGGCTGCGCAGACGCGAGGCCGAGCGGGTCGTCATGGAGGATCCGCTTTCTGCCTTTGGAAGGGCACCCTCTCCGAGTCATTTGGGAGTTCATTTCCCCGCCAAAACAAGACGCCCATCGCGACGCATGATGGGGCGCATTTCTCCCTTTGAAGCATCAATTGAGCTCGCTAAGGGCTTTGACGACTTTGCCCACCGCGACCCTACCGGCCTTGAGCGCACTTACTATGATGGAAAGCCTGTACGACCTATTAAACGGGATTATATGTCTGATGATCTGGCAGACTTAAGCAACCGCTCCAGTGTACGAAGGCAGCATCAAGAACAGTACAGATCACGGGCAATGGAGTTTAGAGAGGAAGAGGGACATGTAAACGTCAGTCGCGAACGCGTGTTCGTTACGAGTTACCATGAAGTGCCTCTTTACATGGGAACACAACGCCATCACGAATCGTTGCCGTATAACTCACATCAACGTGAAGAGTGCAATGTGCGCACCACGCCAACACTACATGAGTTAGATCAGCGTCTTCGGCACCTTCGACAGCACCGCCTCTTTGATCGTGTTTCTCAACGCTCCCCTGACCGTCACTGTTCACGTCATCACTTCAATCAGGAGGGTGAAATTTACTGCGGCTGCCATAATGCAGGATCAAGTAAGATACGACGGCCCACACCATGCTCCCATGATCCTTGTATCACCGTTCACCTCTTTCCTGACACCCGTATTCCCACAACAGCAGCCGGACCAATGAAAATGACACGCGGAGGAAGCAGCCGGCGAAATACCAGCCGTACTGATAGACGTTCAACGCTTCGGGTTGTATCACCGCCATGGCGAACAGAACTCAATTCTGGACCACTGCGACCGTCGTGGAGTTTTGAGCAGCCGCACTCATTTATAACGAAGTCATACAAACGAACTTTGTTGCCGGTCGAACCGTGAGTGAGGGAGAAAAAGGCATCTCTCCACCTTTTCCTCTCTTTCTCTTTCTTGCTTTCTCTCTCTCTCTCCCTCTGTGCGGCTGTGTGTAGATGTACGCACACGGCGTGTGGTGGTTTTTTGTTTGTGTGTGTATAGGATGTGTGTGTGGTACGCGAGAGAAAGCAAGAGAGGAACAAAGATATAGAAAAAGAAAGCCGGTGTTCTCAGAGAAGTGTGGGACTGACACATGTGAAACAAGGAGAAATTTATATTTATATATATATTGTATTCATCCCATACATTCCCTCCCCTCTTGTTGTTGTTTTTGCATTTTTAGAAATATGGGAAAACAGTGTTTTTGGCTCTGCCCATGCTTTTTACTCCCTTTCTTACCTAATAGCATTCCCTGTTGCTTCTCCTGGTCAACGCCACGACCACGACGAAGTTGCTGTGGCTGTGCGAGTTGTTCTGGTGCATGCACACCCAGCACGCATGCACTCCACTCTAGAGACAAATAAATAAATAAAGTGAGGGATGATGAAATGGTGGGGAAAAAGAGAGAGGTGGAGCAATTTTATTATGGGGTAAGAATCATAACTTTTCACAACGTGCGTGTTGTGACCTCCGCTTGAATAAGCAGATGCACACGCTCACGCACTGAAGGAGAGTGGCATTTTTTTTTTTTTTTGGAATGTATTTACCTATTGACACCAGAACTGAAAGGGAAAATGCTCTCCGTCTGTGTTTTACGCCTACTGAAGTTCCTGAAACCTTTTTTTTTATATCTTTTGGTTTCTGAATTTTTTGGTGAAGTGCATGATTCTATGTGTGCGTTATATATATATTCATATATATATATATGAATGTACATACATGTGTATCTGCTCGGGCTGTACGTTGCTGGTGTTCTTCTGTTGTTGTTGTTGTTTTTTTTGTACTGCGGCCCTGTGACGAGTCGCTCTGTCTCTCATTATTCATGTGTGCCCTTCTTCTTCTTTGGCTATTCCCATATAAACACACCTATGATGATGTGTCCTGCGTACATGTGTGCCCCTGTTGAAGTATACCCAAACAAAGCTATTCTTCTTATAGGCCATTCAAGAAACATATAAGAAAGACATCAATACAACAGTAACAAAAAAAAAAAGAAAAAACAGTGTGAAAAAATACGTGATTGCTTTGACACACAAACAATCAAAGAAAACAAAGAGGAGAAACAGAAAAAAAGGAAAAAAGGTTAACAGACATCATGGCGGTTGTTCAGACACATTGCTTCAACTGGATGGACCATGATGGTACCAGGTCCGAGACGCTCAACTTGGCCCTGTTGCGCCACAGCGACACGGGCAATCTGCGATACAGCGATTACCGGCAGCGGCAGGAGGTAGTGGCTGATATCAGCATGCGTCTGAAGATTATCAAGCGTGAGCTCGGCCTTCTGCCTCCGGAGGAAGAAGTGGAATGGAACGAAAACAAGGGGCAACCGGAGGATCTCTATGTGAGATTGGACGACGAAGAGAGCGAAGTTTTCTTGCAGATCCAGGAACGACGAAAGAGGCTTTTCGCACTCATGGAGCGTCCAATTGAAGGCACTGACGAAAGCGATGTGTACTACTACCCTGGCACGCCGGCAGACGAGATGCAAAGGGAGGCCGCGGCTCCGTTTGCCCTTTTTGTGCAATCGCTGCTTGTCCAATTTGGCGAGACGTTTGTTTCGTACCTTGACGGCAGTGAGTTTTTGACCCTGTCAAAGCTTGTACAGCACAACGAGGCTCGTCGTGGTGAAGTGGAGGCCGCTGCCGAGGAGGCAGGCGTATTGCTCCCGTCGGAAAGCGAATTCGATGTGACTTCTCTCCACGCCGCACTCGAAAATCGTGAGCAGGCGCGGATGAAGCTCGACGCCGTGCGGGCAGCAAGCGACCCGAGTTACGCAGCCAAGTTTGTTCGCGCGGAGGAGCGTGACAACAGCGGTCAGCCCATCACGAACGTGTCGCCGGAAGACGGCACGGAGGCGCAGCTCTCCGCGAAGTTGACAGCGGCGAAGGCACAGTTGGAATCCGTGCGAATGGCGTACAACAGACGAGCGCATGCCTCCGCGCGGCGCGTTCAGAAGGCCCTCGCCAACAGGGTTCCCCCGGTGGAGCTGTAGGGAGCGGGGAAGGGCGTGAGCCGAGAGGAAACGCACCAAATTACCGCAAAAAAAAAAATATAAAAAAAGAATGGAAAAAAAAAAAGTGAAGATATGACACGTCTGTAGGGGAAAAGAAGAAGGGGGCTGATAGACGTGGGGACGGAGAGACAGATTTCCCGCTCTCTCCGTCCTCCCACACCCCGACAGGATTTTTAAAAAAAAGGGAAACTCGGGAATTTTTTTCAGGGAGAAGCCACGCACGTGAAAATGAAAAGTTGTTAAATTTGGGAAGGAAAGAAAAAGATGAGGAGAGAAGTAGAAGGAAAAAAAAAAAGGAAGAATAAAGGGGAGGAAAGGGAGTTGTTTTTGTCGGGTCATGTCTGGATTTCTTCGCCATGCGTCTAGTGAAATGGAGAAATCTCTGCTGTGGGAACACAAGGGAGTGGATGAGGGACCTCCGTTTTTTAAGACTCTGTCTGCCTTCTTCTCCTCTCCAGCAAACCACATGATGCATAAATAGAAGCAGAGACCCCAAATACAAAAAAAAAGAAAAAGAGGGATGAATTAAAGAAATATGCTACAAATATATGCGTATACTGTTTATATCTTGTTGTCCACTCTTGTTTGTTTGTTTGTTTGTTTCCTATGTACTTCTGCGCAATTTACACAAGTGTGCACTTTTTTGTTTTCTTTATTTTTCCTGATTTTTTTATTGCTTTCTTCTGGATGGCTGCTGCGGAGGGAAGATACGCCCTCTCATGTCGTATTCATTTCTCCACCACATTTACTGGCTCTTTCCCCTCCAATTGCATCTGCACTGGTGTGAAAACAGATAGGTACAGTGTGTAGGTAGAGAAAGTGGTGTAAGTGATGCTTGGACTCTCAGGTGTTCAGCAACAGCAACCCTATCATCAGCATCCTTCACAACAGCAGTTTCTGCGTGCTAAAGGGCGACGATGTCTTTACTGCCAGCAGCAGGGATGTCCGGGCTTACAGAACTGCTGGTGGCCGCGCCTTCGGTCTTTAGGGTCCAGACCGCAACGCAAGGTGGAATCCGATTTTCCACAGCATTTTTGGTGGGATGGAGATGTGAGGAGCGAAGAGAAGAACGTGAATGCCATGGAAGAAAACTTGCGGGCGCAAATACGTGTCTTGGAGCATGAGGTGCAGCTACTCCGCGCTGGCCTTCACAACATTGCCTCCGTCAATCGCCGCGGTAAGAAGGATGTTGCCACCATGGCCACCCCCGTTGTGCATCTTTCCACTGACTATCCCTCCGATCTCTTGTTCAGTCACAGTGTTAAGAGTAGCGGCAGCGGTCTTCCTTCGCCGAGCCACCCCGTCGTTTCCTCTCTGCCTGGTGGAATTTTGCAACAACAACAACACCTCCGGGAAGAGCATCAGCAGCAGAAGCCTGTGAAAGGGGTTGGTTGTGTTGACTTTTCCCACCCAGAAGGGAAAGTAGCAGCCGGGGTGGCGGACGTGTCTGCATCGCCACCGCTCCAAGGAGACCCGGAATCGAAAGACGTGGAGGGACTGGATCACCTTTTGAGGGAGCTGACCGCACAAAACGTGGCACTTTGCAGAAGACTTGCAGAGATGAAAATTGTTCTCGAGCAGCGTGACACACTTCTCCAGTCTATTCTGGCGGAAAAATTGAAATTGAATGCCACGCACGCTTCATCGTCGGTGCAGGCGTTCGCCTCCGCTCAATTAACCGGGCAACCGAAAGAATTATTTTCGCACCTTCAGGAGGCGCAGGAGGAGGTGGCACATCTTCGGGAGGAGACACGACAATTGAAGAAGGCACTAAAAGGTTGCAAAGCGAATCTGGAAGAAAACAAAGCCGAAACAGAGGAGCTTCGGCGTCAGATACGGCCGCCCACACTTTTTTCGAAGGATTCGAACACCATTGCCGCTACGCCACCCCTTTTGGCGACCGATGGAAATGCTCCTTCACTGCCAACGGCAGCCGCAGCCGCGGCGGAGTTTATGACCAAGGAGCCCACCGTCATTGTTGTGAATGATTCCACCCCCGTGCCACACGAAAATACGGCAACAGACGCTGCGTCAATGAAGGCAGAGATGCGTGACCTCCAGGAGCGCTTGGCATTGGCGGAACGAAAGGTTCTCGCCTGGGAATCGTGGTATAGAGAACAGACGCAGCAACCATCGTCCAAAGAAAAGGACTCACGGAAAATAACGCAAGAGGGAACTGATGTTTTTAACGAAGAAAACGTCTTTCCGATGATCCAGAAAAGACCACAACGTGCATCCAAAAAGGTGCTGCGAGCTTTGCCTGTCACAGCTCCCGCAAGTCATGTAAACTGGCGTAATGTTTCCTCATGGCAAAAAGAAATGGTGTCGGACGCACTGACAATTGACACATATGCTCTCATGGCACGGGAGGCCGCCCTGCGTCAAGTAGCAGAGCAGGAGCGAGCGGATGTTTTGGCTGCGCTCATGACGGATAGTGCAAGTGATGATGACCAGCAGGAGTGAGTAGACGGACGGTGAGGCCAAATCATAGAACAGAGATGCTTGAGGGGTTCCCTACATTTTTTTTTCCCTTTTTTTTTTACGTGTATACATTTATATATTTGAGGAAATGCCTCTCTTTTTTATTCTTGACTTTTCCCTTCTCTGTATTCCGTACCCCACGAACAATATGCAGATGCATTTAGTGTGTGGTGAAACTCTACTGCTGCCGCACCAGGAAGAAGAAGAATAAGGGGGAATTGAGGTGAGGTGGAGAACATTCGTGTTGCCTCCTCACATTCAATGTCCACAGCCTCGCCGGTGTCCAGCCGAAGCACATACGATGAGGAAATGGAATTTTTGATGAACCCTGTGGCAGCATCGTCTCAGGCTGAAGAAACACCTCGACAGAAATCAACAGAGTTGATGTCGCAGGAACAGTCACAGACTCACTACGCCGTGAACAGAGCGGTCACAGAAGCCATGACAATGGAGCACGCCGTTCGCGTCCCTCATGCTTTGCAGGCGGCCACACGGCGCACGATGCTTGACGTTCTCACACAAATGTGGCGCCAAAAACAGAACGATTTGGCTAAATGCTCTGGAGAATACCTTGCCGAGAAGCCATTGTGCAATGGTCTAACAGAAGAAAAACCACATGATAACCTGACTGTCACAGATGAAGCGGCCTCATTTCTTCTCGCTGACACAACCAACATGGGGGCAAACATTGCAAGCACTCTTAAATCAGGCCTTAGTCGGAGTCTACGGCATCTTATGCCTTCCCACCGCGCTTTGCCAGGTGAATTGGAACCGCAACAATACACACACGAGCAAAGTATGAGGGAAGACAGCATCTCTGACTTCGATGATGACAACAACGTTGGTGGATGTCTAAGACAGGTTCCACAAAGGGTTTTGATGGAAAGACACTCTGAAGACGGCCGTTTTCTGCAACGCCACTCGTGGAATTCCGCCGTCTCCGAGGAGGCCACAAGACGGCATACAGAGCACAAACGTACATGGGCAAAACTATTTGATTGTGATGATCTACACCAAGAGGAACTGACAGGACATGAAGATCGAACCACAATGTTGCCAGCAGAGGAGTGCACACGTGCGTCACGCACGTCCACGAAATCATCTCGTCCAAGCGCGAGTTCATTTAAAGACCTTTGGACAGAAAGTGAAGGTGGGCCGCGACAGACGACGGGTAGTCGTACATCGCTTGCAACCCTACTAAACGAGGCTGAAGCCAAAGATGATGAAACATATGCTCAGTCTATGGCAGCTGCCGTTTCTGCCTCAAATAGTGATGGAAAGTCGTGCCGTTTCACAGATGTATTGGCCAACGAGGAAGCCGAAGAAGGTCGTATGCCTTCCTGCCATTTGGTTGGGAAGCCCATGTTTTCCACCAGGCTTCCCACACATGGCAATAGCCCATCGGTGCCAACAGCATTTGCTGTGTTGCACGGTTCCACGAGGCGAGTTGGGAGCCGCGGAGGAACGAGCGCGGTGCTAAAACAGTTGTCGGAGAATCCTATATCAGCACGCGTTGTTGCGTACCTGACGCGTTCCTTTGAGGATTGGAAACTAGATGCCGCGCTCATACGTCGGGCGAATGAGGAAGACGAGCCACATAATTTATCCTTTTCTGGTCCCAGTTTGCTTGAAACAAGTGGCGTGCAGCTTAAATTACTTGTGAAGGTGGTGGAAAGTGCCTTTTCTCTCTATTGTATACGATGCGAGGTGGTCTGGGCAGATGCGCAGGCATCAAAGGAACTTTTTTTTGATGCGCATACGGCTGATAGTATGATATCGATACAGAAAGAGCATGAAGGAGAAGGAGGAGGAAATGAAGCAGGAGTGGGGCATAAAATGAAAAAGCCACCTGTAACATGGACGGTTGTTCTGACGGCGGCTACATTCCGTGCCATCCCCATTGTTGTGGGGAGCCATCTTTACTTGGCACGGCCGTTTTTCTGCTATCCTTCCATCCGCGTCATTGTTGCCTCATTAAATATTACTTCCGATGCGGCTGTGCAAAGGCTGCAACCCACAGCCCGCCGCCAGCGTCGTCCACGAGATGCGGATTCGTCGGAGCCAAAAACCGGAGGCCGCGCCCAAAGTGGTGAGTTTTGCGGTGAGGAGCTGTCGTTTGGTGCGACAACACCCGAGCGAAGGAACAGGCCGTCTGCGTCTCTGACGGGCGTCTCGCCGTTCCGGGCGTATGATCCGTTTGTCAACCCACCGACAAATCTGTTTTGCAAGAACAGTGTTGCTTTGGGTCCATCAAATCCAGTTTCGGAGAGAATTCTGCGGCGGTCGGCCTCTATGCCGCGTAAGACTACAATGAACCTGGAGAGTGATGCATGTGGACAATTATTGGCGTCAAGGTCACAAATGGTAGCACATGACGTCATTGGTGCACAATTCCCCCGTGGCCCCGGTGAGGAGTGGGATGTGCCACTGGAAGTACTGGTGGCCTTGTGCCCACCTCGTAAACGGACAAGCTCCGGCGAGCCAGAAGCGCATCGTCG